AAGTGTTCCTGTGTCTTCCCCTGCCTTATTTTTGTTCACAATAGAAAATGGAACACAGCAATACAGCCAGGATTCAAAATCTAGAGTTTCTGGATTCCAGCTGTGCTCAGGCCATCAGTCCATACTGCCTCCTATATTGTACATATACACACATGCACATATATACTGTGTAATGGATCATTAATAAGCCTATTTTGAGTGATAGAACCATATTAAACAACTCGAAACTATTTTCCACTGTAAAAGGTTTGCCTAAACTCCCTTTTCTATAACAATGGGATACTGCAAGCAAATGATAAAAGAAGGGGTTATTCAAACATATTTCTATAGCAAAGACTGGTTGTTTTATATGGTGTGAAACAACAGGTAGCATACATTAGGAGCATTTATTCCCTGATCTGCCACAAGTTATCTTTATCTGAGATAGAGACGAGAAATAGGGAAGAATAGTGAAAATATTAGCTTGTGTTAAGTGAGTTTTTTTTACAAAAAATGTATTCCAGACACCATGGGAGGCTCTTGCAAGCAAACTAGCAAGTGTTATGGATACAAAACCCATGCTCACTCTACAGTTTACAATGTAAAAGTAAGGTGGGGGGAAAAAATCACCACTCTACTGCTAAAGTCAGATGTCTTAAAGAACAGTATTTCCAAGAGACCATTCAGTATGCAGCATGGACAGAATTCTTTGGGGCAGTGATGCTAGGATTAGTGGTTCTAAAACATCCTATATCCATCATGACGGTAGGTAAATTAGAGATGGACTGCCAAGCTAACTGACTGCAGCCACAATAATAACCCATGGAAACCATCACGATGAAACCTTTTCTTCAAAGTACTTCATTTGGAAGAAGAGAACGCCTCTCCTGGATGTTTCTTGCTAAGTGGTTACTGAAAATATAGAACAGATGACAGCAGGGAGGTGTCAGTTGTCAGGTTAGGGACGTTTATTCTGGGAGGGAGTAATGGTGCTGTGTCAGGATTTCAACATGTATATATTTATAGGCTAGCTAAAAATAGCAAGGAAAATCTGAATCCCTGCGACAGCCAAGAGGATGAGGGGAACACAGGAGGGGTTCGTGGGGGAAATAACTCGTGATCAGGAGAGTCAGGGAGGGATAACTCAAAGGGTAAATGAAGCACCTGTTGAACGGCATAGAGAGGGTGTTGCGATGGGCGAGAGGATGAGTCCTAGGGAGTATCCAGGGAGGGGAGCTGGGTAGGGCATGCCCGAAGGGGATGTTGCTCACTGGGGCCCGTGACGGTCCCGGGAGGACAGGGGTCACGGGATGGGCACATGACACCCTACAGGAGAAACGTCCACGGGCGTAGCCGCTCAGGACACAGACCGGAGGAAGGGGCCGCCAGAGCGATGCACAGAAAGAGGGGGTGTACAGGGGAGGGTCAGCAGAGGGGCGCGGAGAGCGGGGATCACGTCACGTGAGGCGAGCGGGGCGGGGTCCGTACTCACTGTATTGCTCCACCTGCAGCAGCGGCCGGAAGTAGATGGGGTAAAACGCCGCCCCCACCACGGCCACGAACCCGCCGAAGATGAGCAGCGTGCGCGAGATCCGCGCCATGGCCGGCAAAGGACGAGGCGAAACCCCTGCGCGCTAGCGGCACCTGCGCTCCCAACCCTCTCACCTCCCAGTTTGCACACTTCCGCTTCCGGGGCAAGTGCAGGGGATCCCGGGAAGCCGCCTGGGTCACGTGGGTTCTCCGGCCTGGGCGCGAGCTAAGCCAGGGCCCCTCGCAGAGGCGCCCGCTTCCCCGCTGTTACAGCGCGGCTCGCCCAGAGCTCCCCGTCCTGCGTCCTAGAGCCGGGCTGCGAGTTCCGGGGGGCGGGGCCTGCCACCATCTTCAGTGCTCCCCGGGAGGCGCGGGGTCACCCAGCGACACGGGAAGTCGCGCAGCAGGCTGATCACGAGTCTCCGAGGGCGCGGAGTGTGCCGGGCTTTAGACAAGCACGTGGTAGAATGGTGGGCCTGGTACAAAAGCCTCGCTGTGCGGACAGGCACATAGGAAAGAGCGGTACACAAATGAGCCCTGAGGGGTTTGCGTTGTAGGCGGGGGAGGGGAGAGGTGTCACCTCTGTATAATTTATTACATCTGTAAAATAAAATGGATGGTACATTTATATCAGCCATAATCTCAGTACTCTTCATTTTCCACATTTTTAGTGTCCCCTCATTCCAACTAACGGAGTAGCTTATGATTTAAAACTCTTTGTTACATCCCATCCTGCCACATTGTAATATACTCTTGGGGGAATTTTGTGTTGCTGCGCATGTGCAGAATTCATGTCCCCTGCAGATTTCTATGCTTCCCTGCAGAAAAATGACTTCTTATGGGGAAGCAAAGGGAAGCTGCAAGAGCAGTTATGCACTTCTCCCTGGCAGCGTAAGAAGGTTGGTTCAGGCACCTGGAGTAGCCGGTAGAGACATAAATCATGGGGAAGAGCGGTAGCCATGTGAGAGAGACATTCTGTCCCTCTTGTTCACTATTGCAGCACACTTGGCATGGAGGGGCAGAGCTTCGCAGTGTTTCTGAGGAGTTAGGCATGGGGCAGGCTCTGTCCCCTCAGGAAGAGCAGAATATATTATTGCCCTTATATAAATGGATGGTACGTCCTCATCTCGAATACTGCGTACAAATGTGGTGGTCTCATCTCAAAAAAGATATACTGGCACTAGAAAAGGTTCAGAAAAGGGCAACTAAAATGATTAAGGGTTTGGAACGGGTCCCATATGAGGAGAGATTAAAGAGGCTAGGACTCTTCAGCTTGGAAAAGAGGAGACTAAGGGGGGATATGATTGAGGTATATAAAATCATGACAGGTTCAGACTATAGGGCTCTCACTTTAGACTAAAAATAGCAGTGTAGATGTTCCCAAGCCCCAT